TGTAAATGCAAATTTTACTCAAGCATGTTTGAATAATACTTGTAAGAGAATTTTGTTAAATGAAATACACATGAAATTTTTTTGGGGTTCATTTGAATTCTGAAAGAATGGCTACTTATCATCTTGTGATTCTTTTAATTGTAATGAAAGAACATAATTAATATGACATACTTAAATTAACAAAAGTTGAATCCAATATTTCCATTGAAAACTATCAGTGGATGGCTTGATGGTAAAAGAGTAAAATGAGGTTTTATAAGCTCCTGAGTTCAAGTCTTCATAGGCTGGTCACTGAGGAGCTTACCGCTTACTTAGTCATCAGTTTCAAAGCCCATAAATTAATTGAGATACACACAAACTGACTTAAATACTTTTAGTCACCCCAAAAAAAAAAAAAAGAAAAAAAAAATTCTCAATAATCAGATGTTTCTTTACAGAGAAAAATGTTCCCTATCAACCCAAACCCAATTTCTTCATCTAAACCTTCAAAATTATAGCCCATTCAAATTAACCACTGTGCAAGTGTGTAAATGGTATCGTAGTCCGTAGAGGAAATTGGGCTTGGTTCTGTTAACATCTTTCCTCGACCCAATTCAGAAAAAACATAAGTCTCTATCGACAAAAAAAAGCTTGGGCCACTTAGTGGAAAGAAATTTGGTTATGAAAAGTCCACTATATATGTTTAAATTCAGTTGTATATGTGCAGAAGATGTCTTAATCATATGCTTATTTTTGAAGTAAATGGAGCTTTTAAGATGCTTTATTTTTTGGGGACATTGTTCACAAGTCAAAGTACACATGAAATAAATCTATACTTTGCCAACAGTTTGTCTCTATTAATGACTTGGTGTAAACATCAACAGTGCCCACTATCTCTAATTGCTTGCCATCACATTGACAATGGAAAAAGAAATGCCACCCCTTTGATTAATTTGTCACACAAAGATTCTAACATTCTAACTCTTCATACAAAATTTCCATCTCTGACACATTAACAGTTTATGAGAAGAGCTCTGCAAACTGAGGGCTCAAAAGGGATTGATCAAAGGTTCTGAAGTACACAGATTCCTGAAGAGAAAGTAATGTACTGTGGCCTCGCAAGATTTCTATATATAATTCATCTACTGCTGCTGAATTCCCTTTTCACTAGACTTTCCATCATTTTATCTTTTTATTATGATACCCTGACATCCCCAAATGGGATAAATAATTGGGGAGACACGTCTTCTGTATCCTTGCCTTGTCTGAGTTATATCGATGCAAAATTGTACATGCTTTTATGTTTGTGCGCTGTGTGAGAGATATCAGGCATATGACACAAATAATTGGAGGTTTCTGGTTGTCCTCTCCTGTTTTGGTATCTCGCACTAATTCTTGGCATGCTTTTGGTTAACCTGGTGGGTTTCAGTTATGGAGCCTGTACAGCAAAAATATTAACTAGTCTCCTCGTGCACTTCAAAAGCACAATTTGCTAGCTCATTCTTGACCTTTAAAAGGAGTGGGACAGGACTTTGTGATGTTGACATCTCATCAGCTCAATTATGCAGGTAAGTAGGAGAACCTGAAGTAATTTAGCTTTAAAATAATAGTTTTACCTGCAAATCCTGGCATTGACAGGGTTAATTTCTACATGAAATTGGCTTTGGTCTGCCAAGTTTTGCCTCGAACAAATATACTATATAAGAGTCGGCATTAAAGAATTATAGCCAGCCAGACAGACAGCCCTCCTTCAATCCGCCGAATGGTAGGAACTGGGGACCAACCTATATTTCCAGCACTACTTCAGAAAAAATGGAATTCAATGTCCCTGTGGACCCTGGACTTTTTACCTACAAACCTGTAAATTTTACACCAGACTTTTAAATTTACTGGTGAAATAAACTCTGATATAACATTATGTGTCAGTTGTGGTCAAACAAAGTTCATATTTTGTTTAATCATCGGAGTGTAAACCTAATCTTACGCATGCAGATGAAAATGAAGGGAGCCCCACAGCCACGAGGCAGAAGAAGGGAGCAAAGCCCGATTTAATAGTTGTGGCCTCGGTTACAGTGCGGTATTTTTTCTCTTGGAAGATGTGAAGTATATGCTTTTGCTAGTTGTACAAGCACCCACATGAGCCAGTGCACATCTGCATCTGCATCACAAACTTGAATTATAGAAAAACTAAAATAAAGACAGAGGGAGAGAGCTCAGAGCTCCATGTCCACAATTACCATAACCTTACAAGTATTAAACAATTATCACTTTTAATTAAAATAATAAGAAGAATCTTTCCATTTATGGAAACCCCACTTTGTTTAAGCAGTCTCTGTCATTCCCAAGCCAACCAAACTTCTATTATAAACCCTTTTTCAAAGCCTCTGAGTGGGAGACAATTACTTCCATATAATATTAAGAAATTCAAAAACCCTGGAAAGGAATTTTTTTCTTATATGAATTGAAAATAAATAATGAAAATAAGTGAGTTAGTGTAATTATGGAACTAATACAGTGTTGCATGCCGCCACTGACACGTACATAAGCTTAATATTGAAGATAAAAGCTTTACTGTCTTCATCATCATCATCATCGTATTGTATTTCATTAAACAAAAGATCAAATTTTTTTGTTCAGCTTTCTGTGCACATTCTTAAACCAGTTCAAAAGATGAACCAACTAATCCATTAGACTATATTTCCATTATTTCTTTTTTCATTATTTTATGCATTGGGTTACACAATAGAAAGCAACCCATTTATTTTCGTTTAAGCTATACCGAGCCAATAGTCTTGATTTTAGGTTTTGGATATGGGTTTGTTATGTAAGATAAAAGTAGGATTAACTTTAATTAACCCATGATTACTCTAATTAAGAGAAAACGACATATTCACACTCGAGGTTTGGCGAAATCCCAGTTGATACCCCTGATTGCATTTATTCCAGATTCTCACATTTAAAGTAACATCGTTTCCTTTATTTTAACACTGTAACGCGACGCACGTTAGCACGCTAAAGTGCGCTAGTACTTTCTTTGGCAAAAGATAGACTCGTGTTAGCAAAAAGCTGCTCACGTTAGTAGCGTCCAAGTTGACGGTTTTTGTCATTTTTTGACCGATTCTAAAGTTCAAAATCACTTCTAAAACCACCATTGGACTCGTCATAACCTCCTTTATAAAACTTATACCTTCACTTGTTGACCTCACTTACCGTTTTTAACCATTTTCAACAGTAATTAACAATCTTAGTTTAAGTGTAAGAATCTGGAATAAATATAACTAGAAGTATCGACTTAAGATTTCGTTAAACCTCAGTTGGAAATATGTCGTTTACGCCTCTAATTAATTAGTGCAGTGAGGAATCTTCTTTTAGGTAAGGTGATTAGTAATTTACCGCACTAGATTTCCAATCAATTGGGAGCTTAAAATCTGATTTTGTTTCTTTAGATACGGGCTTTAATTAGTCTCTGATTAGGGTTATTGTACTTGTGTATTTATTTCGACTCTACCTTATGATCTGAGGAACATTCTTCTAGTATTTGTACATTTCTGAAAACTTGATTATTCACAAATAAAAATTTCAAGTAACATATTAATATTTATATAAAGAAACTCCAAATCTCCAGTAATTACAGGAATTTTTTTTATCCTTGTTGGGCCAATTTCTGTACTGGAATTGGCCCAAAGAATCAGTCTGAACCGTATAAAAACCGACCACTCCATTTAGACCCCACCCCACTAAAGCCAAGATTAATAATTAAATTTGTTTAAAAAAAAAAAAAAAGAAATTGTAATGACTCATGTTTGTTAGTGTTGTGGGGGCAAGGGCAACGAGTCTGTATTCAAATTGAAATGTGTTTTCTAGAAAACCACAATGGAATAACTTAAAAAGTTTTGGTCATTAATGAGCTTGTTGAATTAGTACTATTTGACATTTCATAATTTGAATTAGGGGAATCTTACGACATATTAACAAGCTATTAAATATTAGTTGACTCTTATTAACGAAAGCAACCCATAACAAAATCGCAGCTGGCTCTAATTCGTATTGGGGTCAAGCTAATGATTTGTGAAATGTATATTATATATATACACAATCAAAACCTTCTTTCCCACTAATAACAAACTCAAATATAATAAACTAAATGTTTCCACCCTCTTCTTTTTAGAGAGTTACGATCGTTATTTATTATTTTATTCACCTCATTTGATAGGGTTTAGATTTGTTTTTCATCTACCTCAAATAATAAGATTCAGAGTGCGTCCTCAACTGAAATTTGGATATCATTTTTTTAAACAAGTTAAGAATACTAATTGAATAAGAGATAAATTTGAACTTTATCAAATGAAATATGTTGGAGTAAGATAATGTGTAATAATCGTAACTCTTGAAACACCACTCAATGAGATGGGTAAAGATTATTACATGAAATAGGTTTTCATCGAAAATTTGTAATGATCAGAGTAAAAGATGGTTAAAAAATCCCGAAGGGTTGGTTGACGATTAAAAAAATATATTCTTTTTATTAATTTTTTTGGTTCGAACTTAGACGGTTACCACAAATTTAATTTGCGGCTTGCTGACTCATATATCCCCGTGAAAAAAAAAAAAAGGGGGGGGGGGTGAGAAAAGAGGTCTTAATTAGGTCAATTTAGGGTCCGAGTTAAGTACAAACCGCTTATCCAACAAGTGATTTTCAGTACAGGATTTGTATAATAATGAAAGAGGAAATGGATTTCTTTTTTTTTTTTTATTTTGGACAGAAGGTTAGTAACAAGGGACAAACATCTCACGTGCTACAGCTAAACGTCAACACTATTGTCAGGGCTTGTTAAATGACCAATTAATCCAATACTTTCTTTCACTTTCACCGGCAAAACCTCCCTCCAATTCTCAGCAACAAGCCAATTACGGATTGTCCTTTCTGCAGCTTCAATCTCATTGGTTCTCTACACTTTCCCACGTATAATTATATACCTTTTTCTTTAGCTCCAGCGCCCACATAAAAACCATATCAACCAATCACAACTGAACACCGCTCACTCTCTTTTTCTGCTTATTCTCTCTTCTCTTCTTTCTCTTTGCTTACTAAGAACAAACACCCCTTCCCCCCAGCTCCCGAATCTTCATTCACTTCTCTCTGCTTTTTCTTTTGTTTTTGCTTTGGCCACCAACTCCGGGAAAAAGCTACAAAACCACGTTTTTTGTTTTTTTAACAACTTTTACCATTTCAATTATCAAGAACCTTTCTGTTTTCCCTCAACTTCCCTCTGTTTTTGGTTGAGTTCTTCTTCATCTCACTTCAAGTTTTCTCGTTTTAGTGCGTTGAAGTTTTATCTGGGTTGTGCTTTGTCTCTTGCTTTACTCGTGATTTTGTGTGTTTTTGGGCGGTGGTAGTGGCCTAGGGTTTATGTTTTTTTTTTTTAACAAAACTGAGGTGTTTTTAAAAGAATTTTTCTCTATTCCTTCTCGAATTTTCCTGTATTCCTCCTCGAATTTTCCTTGATTTTTGGAAAGTTTAGCTTTTTTTAGATTCCTCAATTGATGCTTGTGTGAAAAAAGTTTGCTTGGATTCCAAACAAATGCCTTGGTGATTTGATGCTTCTCTGGTCATAAAAACCTCCACTTCTCTGCATTTTCTATCTGGGTTTTCTCTCTCTTTGAACATTGAATTCAAAGAGAGAGAAACTGGGCTAGGATTCAGTCCACTAGTACAGTTCAATAAACCAAAAACAAATGAATCGAGGAGTAGAAGTTCTATCTCCAGCCTCATATCTCCAGAACTCAAACTGGTTGTTTCAAGAAAGCAAGGCAACGAGATGGACTCGACAAGAGAACAAACTGTTTGAGAATGCTCTGGCTTTGTATGATAAAGATACTCCTGATCGATGGATTAAGGTAGCAGAAATGATTCCAGGCAAGACAGTCGGTGATGTCATCAGACAATACAAGGAATTGGAAGAGGATGTTAGTGATATTGAAGCAGGTTTAATTCCAATTCCTGGCTATTGTAATGATTCTTTCACTTTGGAGTGGGCTAATGGTAATCAAGAATTCGATGGATTGAAGCAATTTTATAGTCCTGGTGGGAAGAGAGGCACCGGAACTCGGCCTTCTGATCAAGAAAGAAAGAAAGGGGTTCCATGGACAGAAGAAGAACACAGGTATTAATTTTTCTTTTTATTATGTTCCGTTGCCTTCAAAATCTTATATATAACAATGTTGAAAAGTTAATTAGAGTTAGTTGGATAGCCTTTAAATTCTGTTGTATCATATATTTGGCTTGTCTGCTACAGGCTAGTTTTATTGTGAATAAATTTGTTGTAAGTTTGTTTCATTTTTGAGATTGATGATCGTTGGTAATCAGAGATTTATGGTTACTTCATTCTAGCCGAACTTAAGAAATTATGATATAAAGCTTTGATTTGTTGAAATAATTGACTTTTTGATTACTTAAGATCTCTGGCTGATCTTGTGAGTGATATGATACTAAGTATGATACATGGGTCAATTGGATGAAAGCAGTTTATTGAATCCTTTATGAAGATCTCTTTTTCGCTTGTGTAATTGTCTAGTTCTCAGTGGTTTAGTACACTCCAGCAGCTCATGATGTGGTGTTTGATAATTTTACTACAGGCAATTTCTAATGGGTCTTAAAAAGTTTGGAAAAGGGGACTGGAGAAATATCTCCCGCAATTTTGTGACCACTAGAACACCAACTCAGGTTGCAAGTCATGCTCAAAAGTACTTCAATAGGCAGCTTACTGGAGGGAAGGATAAGAGGAGATCTAGCATTCATGATATTACTACTGTCAATTTGGAAGACACGGCATCTCCTTCTCCAGAAAATAGTAAATCTTCATCTACAAATTCTTCTACTGCTGTCGTTCAGCTGCAGCAGCAACCAAAGTTAACTAGCATAAGAAATGAGCACTTCGATTGGAAACCACCAAATGAAGGAGCAGCCATGGTTTTCAACCCAACAAATAGCAACGGGTTCATGCCCCCTTTCTGTGGGATATCTTCGTATGCACCTAAGTGGCAGGAGCAAAATCTGCTTGGTGGAACTCTTCATGGATCTCAGTTTGACGTTTACAACACGTTTTATCAGATGCAGTCAATGCAACATCAGTAATTCATAGATAATATGGAGTTCTAAGGATATTTATTTGCCAATTCTTAGTCAGTGTCAGTGATCTCAGATTACTCTGTCCATGCAATATCTTGGTTCTATGTGAATATGTCGATGAAGCGTGGAACGAGTCCATGAAGAAATCAGTTAGATTGTGCTATGATTTGCTATTGGAGAACTGGACCATTGAACCATAAGAGTAGCCTATTTACAAGAAGCTTGAGCTTTTGTTCTTGTGCACTGGTTATTTCCTTGCAGTATTTGTTGGTCATCAGAAGGCATTCTTGTATTGAGTTTGTTTGTATTATGAATATTTCCATTTACGTAAGAGCCATGTACTAGATGATCTAGATGCTGAAATGATTAAAAGTAGATGATACAGTCTCCAACCATTCTGAGTAGCTTCATGTAAATTACACAACTCCCAAGTTTGCATGGTTGATATAATAAAGGCATCTGTGAGAATAATATCATCTGGGTTGGATTATAATCTTTAGGATATTTTAGGCAAGCAGAATTTTCCTTTTTCTTTCCCCGTTAAAATCTTTGTTGGTGATGAATTTTGTGAAGCATTTGAACCAGGATCCCGCAAAACTGCATATCCATCTCTCAGTTGAAATATATAAGTTCTTTTGTAAATACCTTTGTGCAATAAAAATCAAGAATTTGTGGTTATCTGTCTTTATGATTTGCCTCAAAACTTACATTTACAGTTCATCCTAGATAAAGACCGAGATCATGATGCGCCCCCCGCCCCCTTTTTTTTTTTTTTGTTGACTGAATTGTGGCCTATGATATAGGAATCTAAACTCTTGGTATGGTTCACATTCAGAGTTCAGTGTACTGTATACGCATTCATAAAACCCAAGTGGAAGTAGTTGATTTGGACATTAGGCCAAGTCATGCGATGCTCGGGACCAATTTTGCTGAGTCACATTGCATTCTCTCTGATGACACTAGTTTAATGAATTGCTTTATTCTGATGCCTTTTTGCTAAAGTATAGTTTATACAATTGATGGCAATTAGTTGACTAAATTTGGATGCTCGAATCTTGACCAAAGTCAAGACTTGAGAGCCACTAATATAAGCATCTCATGCTTCATTCTGTCTTCTTTAATGTTGGTTCTCTTCTTGAGGATGACATATTGTGTTTTCTGTTTGTTCCCTTTTAATGAGTTAGATGGTGGGTAGGAGATCATATCGGATGCATCACTGTATGATCAAACCGAACAAATGGCGGCCTGTGTTTCCCATTCATTTGTTCACTTATCTAAGATAATTTTTTTGCCCATCAAGCCAATTAATTAAGGTTAAGGTTTCGCATAATCCTTTTACTAATCATCAACGGAATCTTGGTTTTCTGATTCTTTTAAGTTAGAACATGGTGATTAAACAAATCTTGATAGTTGCTTTGAAGTCTTGTGACCCTTTTTATTTAATGGGAGTGCTCTGCTTTTACTTGGTGGGTTTTATGGCTATAACTCTGCTTTACAAAATAAAAAAAGTCACAGGGCCTTTCTCCATCTTTTATTTTTTTTTCTTTTGTAAAGATCTGGGAATTGGCTTTAGATTCTTGCATTTGGTTGGGTAAATATTTTCGTGGATGTTCTTTCTGTCAAAAGCACTTTGATTACGAGAAATTCCGCCCAAGTGAAGTAGAGTGGAAATGGAATGAGTGATGTGACTGGTAACTAATATCTTTACATTCCCAGTGCGCAAGAATGATCTCAATTGGACTCAAAATCTGCTAACAACAGTAATTTAAAGCTTCATGTTACTCAAGTTTGGTAGCATAATCAGTGGCATTGTTTGCAGGAATTCCACTACCACTTGAAATGTTAATTGCTCAAAAACTTAATGAAAATCCATGTAAGCTCTCCACAAAATGAGTTTTTTTACTCATCTTTTTAATAACAAAACTCTGAACAAGGATCATTTGTGATTGATTTCCACAACAAAAGCAAGTGTTTTTTTTTTTTTTTCACATGTCAGCGGTGGAGTTGGACTGTTGTGATCAGTGTTCACTTATTTTCTCTGTAAATTATATATATATAAACCAAGTGATTCTGATAAATCTTTTGATCCAATCAAAATCTGGGCTGGTTCTTTCTTTTGTTTTTCTTGCTTCAAAATTGCTGGCACTAAAAATCAAGTGTAGCCCAAGCAACATTCAAACAAAAAGCCCTAGTGCCCGCCATATTGCTTTGCACATATAATTTTGGACCCACCCACTAGACAAAACTATTTAAGACAACATGGAGCAATATATATAAAGATCCTTATAACATCCTTCCTCTTCTTTCAAGCTTTATCTCCTGGTAATTGACAAAACTACCCACTTTCTTTTTAAAAAGAGTACTTTTTGCTAGTTGCATTGGAAAGCACTTTGGCTACTCTATTCTAATTTCCATCATACACTTTGGCTGATTTAAGACCACATACCTCAATTCCCACTTCGTTTTCTTTCTCTCTTTTGTTTACCAATATTCTTATTCCTCTTTGATATTGCTGCTGCTGCTTGACAACAGAAACTACGTTGAATAGTAATAAAGAAAAAACCGAAAACAAAAGAACCCATAAAAAGAATGAAAGCTCATATGGGTACTTTAATTTTTTTTTCTATGGTGCATCATTGTGGGCCATTGAGTATCTAAGAATGATCCCTTGTGGATGCTTTTGGATACTTATTCAACATAAAGGAAATACCAGAGAAGTGGAACATTTTCAAATCATTGTACCTATAATTCATCACAACCAACAAACAAACATATAAAATTTTCTAGCAGATTTTGTGTCCATTTCCAAACAAGAGAAACAAATTTACTTATCATTCATCTATAGGAAATAAAAAGTAGATGCATTAAACACACTGAGATGTTGCATCAGCTTGATAGAAATTATCCATTTTCTGCTTGGGTATTTTCAATTGAAAGCTAGCTAGTATGATGGGATTTAGCATTACACAACAAAAGTTTGATACTGTAATAGAGTTGTGATATGTTTCATTTGAGATGGGGATGTCAAGGTGCAATGTCTTTTCATGTCTTTCTTTTTCTTCATTTTTTCAGGCCCCCAACTCATAGTTCTCATTCCATCTTGCTCTATGTCAAAATAAATACCCATCTTCCTCTATTTTAAACCATTGGAAAATTCAATACAGATGAAAGAATACTAGGAATAGTTCACATCTAGAACACTATGACAACACATGGTTTTCTGCAGATTAATAAACATGAAGCAGAAAAATTTGGAGGGCAAAATCCATGTTTAACCTATCAAGTTCAAGTGTTAAACCACATTATTGCAAGCATAAAAAAGAAGTTGAAGTTTAAGTCCAACTATCAATCATTATTATTATTGAACAGCTTGAATTTTAAGGTTATGAAGCAAGTCAGTAAGTTCCTTCCTGCAATCATCGATCAATTATTTATAGTTAAGTGTGAAAAGACTAAGCAGCGCAGAACACGGCGTTTTCCAAGTCTTTATTTGTATGTCATTTAATGCTTTAAGCAATATAATTGATGCACAATCAACTGCTGAAATATGATAATGACTTGATAATATCATGCTGACATCAGTCGAATGCGATAATTCGCTGTCATTTACAGTTATTTAGACATTTTAAGCTTGAAAAGTGTTAGATAATTAAGGTTGTTATCTAGTTTATGGTAAAAACACATGCTTGCACTTGAATCTTGAACAAAATAGAGATATGAGAAACCAAAATAACAACAAATACACAAATCACAAACAGTAAAACAAAAGAAGAGATACACGCGATTTACCTTGATTCATCTAATTAACATGTTATGGTTACATCTAGCAGAGTCAATATTATTTCAATATTACCTCATCTCTCTCGTTTATAATGAAATAATTTGCCCTATGATTGCTCTCATTCATTACAAAAGAAAAATGTGTTTATATACTAGGTTTAAAAGACTAAAAACTCAATATTACAAAGATTCTTATTTCTAAGCCCAAACATGATAAGAATTTAATAATTTAAAGAAATCCTTCAATTGGACCCCCGAATGCGTCTACGTGACCCATTAACGTTGAAGTAGTCGACAACTCTAACAAATTTGAGTATTCACTAGTGAAATACTAAGTCCAAACCTAATAAAAAATTAATAACTTAAAGAAATCCTTCAGTTAGACCCTCGAATGCGTCTACGTGACCCGTTAACGTTGAAGTAATCGACAACGCAAATATGAGTATTCACTTGGGACAATCCTATTTCACCTACCAATCACTCTCCTTATCAACTTTATATCAACTTTTATTAATGCTAATTAACATCAATTGCATAATACATACATTATATTTAGGGAGAGCCTGTTAACATGTCCAGAACTGACCAAAACTTCTGTGTTTTCAGTAACTATTTCAGGCAAAGATTCAATCATCTTTTGTTCTACTGATAGAAGATAAGATCGTTTTTACTTTAACATATAACATCAACTTGGGAAATTTGATTACCACACGATATTAATCGTCTCCTGAAATGCTTGTTTTATCTACTTGCCGTGTAAGCCATCCCATTTGCAAGTGAGGTGAATTTAGAACTTCCCATTAGCATTTCAATGCTTTTAAACTTTGCTATTCATTCAATTTTCGCAGACTTTCATGAACTAAACATCAATGGAAAGATCAATATTTTAATTTGTTGTGGATGACAAAGAAGTCCAAGAAGTGACACAAACATTAATTGATGATACTCTTTGGAAATGAACTATTAATAGATGAAAATCCACAAATTACTCAGTTGCTAGTTCATTGATTGAGATTCTTTATATACTTACATCTGAAGCTTCATAGACAAATTTATTAACCTTCAGAAAACAAGGCCCAGGACTCGAGGCTCAAAGCCAATCCACTTTCGCAAATCAGACCCTCGAGACCCAAAAAACCTTAATGCTATTAAACCCGATCCTTACTCTCTTTACACACACTAAACACAAACCCAAGATATTTTTTTCACTTGATTTTCGATTCCGAAGAAGATGAAGAGCCTTGAATTTCAGTTACCGTACTGAATTTTGGTGGATACACTAATTAATTGCCTCTAGTTATCATCTAATTCTTATGTCTGTTTTTTTTCTTCTAACATTGGGGCTGCTTAAGCTAGTTTGTCCCGTACCCTTTTTTTTTTTTTTTTTTTTAAATCAAGGGTGTTTGGTCTAGTTTGTGTACACTTCAACTAATCTATTTGAATCCTAAAACTATCGATCAGATAAAAGCCTTAATGATCACCTGTATTAGTACCTAAAGAAACTCGAACACAGGAGTTTATAGAACATTTTTTTGTTTTTTTTATCATCAGACCATCTAGTGGTGGTTCTTCTGTCTAAACTTGCACATACAAATGCCACTAATAATTAGTAATTAAGATACAAATGCCATAGAGCTTTTTAGTTCTTAATTCATAAAAGTGTTCTATTTACCGTTTAAAAGACTGAGTAAATAATATAAAGTTGAAAAAAGATTTTGTTGTGATTATGAATATAATAAAAATATTCTTATTTTAAGATCGTAGCATTTTGTAATTTATTTGAGAATCAACTAAATAAGTTTTTTTTTTTCCTTTATTATATCCTATTATACCTAATAAAAGTAACATTTTAATCTCCAAAAAAAATTACCCTCAAAGGAAATGGTCAACCTTTATAACTAATATTTACATGTGTTATCTAGTTAAAGACTTAAATTACTACTAAGGATGTCTTAGATTAGATTTCAACACCTCATGGCTCGTGCTCCACAAATATGTACACACGCAATATCAGCTCAAAAGTTAACATTTTAAATATATATCTGAGGAAGACTTCATATTACATATAGTTTTAGTAATGTTATACAAATATTTTGATTAAGTAAAAAGAAAATCATGTTATTTGTGAATGTTTTGAAATAAAATATTCCAAATTTCTTATCACAAGTAATATGCTATCTGAGAATTTAGGTGAATAATATTTATAATATGTTTGTGTCACATAAGATGGACACCACTTGAAATATAGATTTAGGATTTCATTTAGAAATATAATACTACTCTTATGTTTAAATTTTGTTTTACTCAAGTCATCCACTCAAAATGCTTACAAAATTGAGATATCTCAATTGACATGATAATTTGATTCATCTTAACGCGTGAATATGATCTCAGTACAAAAAGTGCCAAAATTAAGAAATTGGCAAAACTAATAATCACGTTACATTAACAAACAGAGTACATTATCTTTATGTCAAACAATATAATTCAATCTAAAGCACACTTTCCACTAAAAGAGTACTAAATCAAGTCATAAACTTATCCTACAGATATACGACCCAATCTTCTTGATTATGCGTAGAGCTCTGAGTTGTATTCTCTATATTCTCCTTGATTATGATAGTAATGATGTCAAGCTTAGTGGACTTTTCCATATTTTTTTAAGAGAATTTGTCCTTTACGAGTCTAATAGATTCTCATTTCATCATTTATACTGTTGAAAATGATGCTAAAAATTATCATAAGTATACAACTATATGTGAACTAGTAATGATAAAAATAAAAACACATCAACTGAATAAGAGACAGAGACATGATTTACAAGCAATAGGTTATAATGACAAAGAAAATCCAAGAACCAAAGTTCAAGGCAACTCAATAGACCTGAATCATTGTAGTCGCGGAGCATTTAACACAAGTCTCAATCTCCCTAAATTGTTGCATGATCAACCTCATTACCTCCTTCAAGCTCATGGAAAGATATATATTTTTTATTTTTTATTTTTATGAATAGGTTAATATTATAAAAGAAAAAGAAAACTATATAGTATACGAGGGGCATACCCCAAGAGAAGGTCTAAAGATGATCAAAATGGATGTAACCATCTTTTTGGACATATAAGTAAAAAAGATGGGCACAATCGCCCAAAAAGACCACGCAAGCTGCACAAAACATGTGACCATAATTGTAGTCGCGGAGCATTTAACACAAGTCTCAATCTTCCTAAATTGTTACATGATCAGTCCCATTACCTCTTTCGAGCTCATGGAAATATATATATATATATTTTTTTTTTTTTTGGAAAAGGTTAATATTATAAAAGAAAAAAAAATTATACAATATACGAGGGGCATAGGTCTAAATATGATTAAAATGGATATGACCATCTTTTTGGACATACAAGTAAAAAAGATGGGCAAAGCCGCCCAAAAGGAGCACGCAGGCTGCACAAAAGAGAAGAGAGATAGGTACAAGTAGATCTGGCAAAACAGGTCTAGACGTGCGGGTGGACTCGAACCCAAGTAAATAATATAGGGTACGAGTCCATAAAATTAGGTCCCTTTTTTTGGATCCATACTCGACCTGACCTGTTTTGAAAACGGGCGAGGTGGGTACACCCGCAGGTACCTGTTTGTAATTTATTTTTTAATAAAAAAAACCAAATCTAAAAACTTGAAATCCCTAACTCACTTACATACAAACACAATTCCATGTCTCCACCATCGTCACTTCTCCAGTCTCTAGAGTCATGTCTCCACTGACCGCCGCTTGCTTAGGTAACATACACACACAAACTCAACGACATACACTGATACACACAACAAAGACTTCTCTCAATCTCAGAAGCAATTCACCAAAGCCATCAATGAAGGCATCAAAATTGAGAAAGAAAACCAAAGGTCATCAAAGGATTGAAATCAAGAAACTTGAGAATAAAAACAGTCTTGAAGTCACCTTCTCCAAGCGAAAGAACGAGATTTTCAACAAAGCTAAAGTGAGCTTTCCTTATTATGTGGTGCTCAAGTTGCCATTATCATGATGTCTTCACATAATAAACCTTTCAGTTATGGTCAGCCTAGTATTGAAGCTCTTCTTGATTGTTTTTTCTCCGGAAACAATGACCCTTTGGAATTTTTGACCAACAACGAAGCGTTTGACACGATTAAGCATGAGATCAAAAGGCTACAAGATCAGTTTGAAGAGGAAGTAAAGATTGCCAAGGAGATTAAACATCGAAACAAAACGAATGACCATGACTGGTGGGAACAACAACGTGTTGATGATATGGGGTTAGATGAAGTTGAGCGATTTGTCAAGTATTTGGAACAACTAAGAAGTAACGTGGTAGCAACGGTCAATAAAGAGGAACCAAAGGCTAATAATAATGATCTTGCAATTATTGATAAGAGTGATGGTAATCATCATGAGGCAAGGGTTGTTGACCCATTAACTGATCACAAATTTGTCAATGATATTGCACCTCTTAATTTTTTCTTTGATGATGGCAACTTCTTTGACAATATGGATATAAGTGGGTTGATTTAATCATATGTTTTAAGTGTTGAGTTTTAGAGTTGTTTTATGTTATTTTATGCCAGAAATTTTAATTGGATATTGTTGCTTCTTAGATGAATAAAACAATTTTATTCAATTAGCATAAGTGTGTTACCAACATGCAAATCTATGGCCTACTCAAGAAGTTATAATTTAAGCTTAACAAAGAGACTTTTGTGGTGAATTGAATTGAATTTGGAGTAGTTTATTGTGGGGGTATAATTGTAAAAAATGAAAACTACAGGAATTTTAGGGGTGTAACCGTCATAATTGAAAACCACTATGAACAGTGCGCAAACCCGCAGGTCAACCTGTACCTGTATAGGGTAGGGTGCGGGTCTAATATTTTGGACCCGTTTAGATCGACTCATTTTGGGCTCATACCCGACCCACCCGCCCGTTTTGCCAGGTCTAGGTATAAGCACCCTAACTGAGCAAACATGCTCAAACAAAACAAAGAAAGAGATAGGCACAGACGCTTAACTAGAGCATACAACTAGATTTTCATGGCAAGATGCTCACCATGCAAACCTAACTTGCACCCAACAAAAACAATAGGGACATTAACCTCTCCTTTAGTATAATATTACACACAAGCAGTCAACTCAACAAAAGCGTAAAACATACAAATCTCTAAACTTCGAAGCTAGGGGAGCCAATAATAAGTCAAATGAGAAGGAGATATGAACTAGTACCATCAAGGAAAATTTGATTCATCTTAACGCATGAATAGGGTTTCAATACAAAAAGTGGCAAGATTGAGAAACTGACAAAACTAAAAATCACGTTACATTAACTAACGGATTACGCTATCTTTCTGTCAAACAGTATAATTAACTCTAAAGTACACTTTCCACTAAAAGAGTACCAAGTCAAGTCATAAACTTATCCTACAGATACACAACCTAGTCTTCTTGATTCTACGTAGAGTTCTGAGTTGTATTCTTTATATTCTTTCAGGTTTTGATAGTAATGATGTCGAGCTTAGTTGAGATTTCCATATTTTTTTTAAAGAGAATTTATCCTTTATGAGTCTAATAGATTCTCGTTTCATCATTTATACTGTTGAAAAAGATGCTAAAAATTATCGAAAGTCTACAACTATATGTGAACTAGTAATGATAAAATAAAAACACCTCAACTAAATAAGAGAAAGTGACACGACTTATATGCATTAGGTTATAATGACAAACAAAATCCAAGAACCAAAGTTTAAGGCAACTTAATAGACCTGAATCATTGTAGCCGCGGAGCATTCAACACAAATCTCAATCTCCATAAACGGTTGCATGATCAATCCCATTACCTCCTCCAAGCTCATGGCAATTTTTTTATTTTTTATTTTTTATTTTTATGAATAGGTTAATATTATAAAAGAAAAAGAAAATTGTATGTATATAAGGGGCATATCCCAAGACAAGGTCTAAATCGACCAAAACGGATGTGACCATCTTTTTGGACATACAAGTTAAAAAGATGAGCATAACTGCCCAAAAGGAGCACGCGAGCTGTACAAAAGAGAAGAGATGAGTTCAAGCACCCTAACTAAGCACACAGGCTCAAACCAAACAAAGAAAGAGTAGATAGAGACGCTCAACCAAAGCACGCAACAAGATTCCTATGGCAAGATGCTCACCTCGCAAATCTAACTTGTAGCCAGTAAAAAAAGTAGGCACCTTAACCTCTCCATTCAGTATAATATTATACACAAAAAAAAAAACACAACGTCATTTTAGTGAGATTTAGAAATAAGTAGTCAATTCAACAAAAGCGTAAAACTTACAAATCTCTAAACTTCGAAGCTAGGGGAGCCAATAAGAAGTCAAATGAGAAAGAGACATGAACTAGTACCATCAAGGAAAATTTGATTCATCTTAACATGTGAATAGGGTTTCAATACAAAAAGTGGCAAGATTGAGAAATTGACGAAACTAACAATCACGTTACATTAACTAATGGATTACGTTATCCTTCTATCAAATAGTATAATTAACTCTAAAGTACACTTTCCACTAAAAGAGTACCAAGTCAAGTCATAAACTTATCCTACAGATACACGACCCAATCTTATTGATTCTACATAGAGCTCCGAGTTGTATTCTCTATATTCTCCTAGATTCTGATAGTAGTGATGTCGAGCTTAGTTGAGATTTCCATATTTTTTTTAAAGAAAATTTATCCTTTATGAGTCTAATAGATTCTCATTTCATCGTTTATATTGTTGAAAAAGACGCTAAAAATTATTGAAACTCTACAACTATATGTGAACTAGTAATAATAAAAATAAGAACACCTCAACTAAATAAGTTACAGAGACATGGTTTACATGCGTTAGGTTATAATGACAAACAAAATACAAGAACCAAAGTTCAAGGCAACTCAATATACCTGAATCATTGTAATCGAGGAGCATTCGACACAAGTCTTAATCTCCCTAAACTTTTGCATTATCAGTCCCATGACCTCGTCTAGGCTCATGGAAAGATTCTCATCGCAAATCTAACTTGCACCCAGTAACAATAATAGGCACCTTAACCTCTTCATTCAGTATAATATTATGCACAATAAAGCATAGTGTCATTTTAGTGAGATTTAGAAATAAGCAGTCAACTCAACAAAAGCGTAAAGCATACAAACCTCTAAACTTCGAAGATGGGGGAGCCAAAAAGAAATCAAATGAGAAGGAGACATAAGCTGATTACATGCATATCTTAAAACCACATCATCAAGCTTCTTCAATTCTTCATTAATTTTACCTTCATTCTCCAAGCTAAATTTGAACATTCATAATGCACAAAAATCAGCATACTTTATGCTGCGCACGATGAGGCAATGCATATTTGTGCCTAAGTGGGGGAATCTTAGGCGTGAAATTCTCAAGGAGTGTCATGACTCCAAATGGGTGAGACATCAAGGCATGCATCGCACCGTTGTAGTGGATGACTCATATTATTGGCCACAAAGGCGGGATGATATGGAGACATACAAAGACTTGTCTAGTGTGCCAACAAGACAAGATTGAGCAACAAAAGTCATGATGTTTGTTGGAGCCACTCCCCATATTGGAAAGACCGTGGGAAAGTCTTTCCATGGTCTTTATTACTTGCCTTCCAAATCTAAATGATATGGCACTATCATTGTTGTCATAAATCGTTTCACTAAATATGCCACTTTCATTTCCACATCATCATCCTTTACAATGGAGGAAACTACATGTCTCTTTTTCAAGAATGTGGTTAACTATTGGGGGCTTCCAAAGACCATTGTGAGCAATAGAGATGTGTGCTTCATAAGGAAGTTTTGGTTGAAACTCTTCAAACTTTTGGGTTCGGAGCTTCCATAATTCACAAGCTTTCACCCAAAGACGAATGGGAAAACCGAGAGAGTGAATGTTTTATTGGAGATGTACTTAAGGCACTTTGTGAGTGCCAACCAAAGGGATTCGGCAAAGTTGCTAGACATAGCCTAATTTTCGTACAATTGACAGCGTTCAGAGTCTACGGGTCAAAGTCCCTTCGAGTTAGCAACCGGGCAACAACCTTTGACTTCTAACACCTTGACGGCTTATATAGGGAGTTGCCCATCAGCCTTTAAATTCGCTAAGAATTAGCAAAACCAATGGGAGCTAGCACGCATATACTTAAACAAGGCAGCCAAGAAGATGAAGAAATGGGCAAAGTCAAAGATGCGACACGTGGAGTTCCAAACGAGAGATCTTGTCATGGTCAATCTGCTTCTCATACAACATAAGTCTTTATGCTCGTTACACAAGGGTCTCCTAAGGAAGTATGAAGGGCCATTTCTTGGCCTCAAGAGAATAGGCAAGACGTCTTATCGCTTAGAGCTTCCACCAAAGATGAGATTCATCTGGTTTTCCATGTGAGCCACTTAAAGTCATACCATTCGGATGCAGAAGACCCTACCCGAGGGGAGTCGAGTAAAGCACCATCAATCACTTCTACTTCATTTCATAAAGAGGTAGAATCCATACTGGTAGACCTTGAAGTAAAGAGTTGTGAGCCAAAATACCGGGAGTACTTCATCAAATGGAAAGTCTTGCCCGAAAATGAATCTAGCTGGGATTCTGAGGACTTATTGTGGCAATTTAGGGACCACATCAACCGCTATGTGGAGTAAGCTACTAGAATGTCTCCAAATTAAGTAGGGGAGGATATCACAAGCTGTTTGAAAGGCAAGACCCGATTGGCCCAAAAAACTCAAATTTCTTCTAGATATGCAACTTGCATGGCAAGATACATAGCAACTTGCGCATGCCAACTAGGGAGGACTAGCCTATAAATAAGGACATTCACCCTCACTTGTAAATTATTCACCACATTCACCAAGTCACCACATATCTTGTAAAGATACTCAATATACTTTTAAGCTTTTTCTTTACACCTTCTCTACATTTCTCCCTTGCTTTTTATTATTTAAGGCTTTAGCTTGAGTTAGGCTGAACTAGTATTCATCCATCACATAGATTTGATATAACTTAGTCTGTGACACCAAGTAGTCTCAAGGCACCCTTTTTTGATGAAAAGAGCATGGAGAAAGAGGAACCCTTTAAGGGTAACTCACAGGTCATTGACTCCCTCTAGTTGCTTCTCTTGTAACACCTTTTCACTGCCATTATTTCAGTAGGGTGCAATTGAGCATTGAAGCATTTAACTTGGCGTCATCCATGTATTGGTCACAAATAATAAATATCCTTTTCAATGCCCTAGCAAATCGTTATTTTAGACCTCATGAATCATGATCAAACAATGGACCTATTGGATAACCTTCTGAGCGTGATAAAAAACATCATGGACCTACCATCAAAGAAAATTTAATTCATCTTAACGCGTGAATAGGATCTTAATACAATAAGTGACAAGATTAAGAAACTGACAAAACTAATAATCCCATTACATTATTAAACGAATTATGTTATCATTCTGTCAAACGATATAATTCACTCTAAAGTAAACTTTTCACTAAAAGTTTTA